ACGTCTTGTAGCTGTTGGAAACTGGTTATATTTAAAGATTGTTTCTATGACGACCATTAATTCTTATGCCACGTCAGATAGCATTGTCTATAAATGTCATAATTGTATTATCATTTTCGTAGTGAAATATTTTTGATCAGTTTGACATCTTAGTTCTAGGGTCTCTTTCATTTTGCTTTAGTTATAAAACAGACCACGTTTATCAATTTCAATGTTCTGTGACGAATATTGCATGGCGAAACATTCTTGGAAACATGAGGCAAGTTCATCAGCCGATCAGGTGTAAATCGCGGCCTAGATTATTTATATGTTTCAAGAACCCCCTCCAGGCCTAGATCTTAATTACAAATTCTGGAAAATGAACGACAGCGGTATCGATTATCGAATTATTTCAACATGCATACCTTCTCCAAATTCATCACTAATCAAACTAAAGTTTAACAGCTTCTGGGTTCTGACGGATCTACTCCAGGAGGAAACCCCATGGACACCGCTCTCACCTCTGCTCGGGTACAAGAACAACCCTCTTACCATGTGTCACTGCTACCTCGCCCTGTAACGACTTTATAACGACAGCACCATATAGTGACATGTCATTATAAAGTGCTTGTCACTATATTATAGTGTTGTCACTATATAGTGTTGTCACTATATAGTGCGGGAATCAATTCCTCGCATCGCTCAGAGGTACGCTGAAGAACAACCCCTGTCGGCGACTCAGAATCTGAACCAGATGTCCTTCAACAGAAGTGATTTAGATGCTCCCATCTATGTAGTCCCTCGCTCGAATAGTTTTGCTTGATTTGTTTTACTTTCAATTGGTTCTTAAATGTCAGATAAATTCCAGTTCTTCAGTGTCTCGAGATAACGTCATGTGAATTACTTGATGACGTTGGAGGAGTCCTAACTTTCCTCACGTCCGAAAATGGCGTTTCTCTTGTATCAAATATTATGATCTATTAAATTGTAGGTTTGTTGCTTAATATAGCCAATCAAACGAAGATATTGAAAAGCATTGCGATTGTTGTAGTACCAGTAGCTTAGTCAAATTGTTTTACAGCCGAACTTTTCTATAGCGTGCCTCTCTATAGCGGTCCTCTTATTTTCTCCCAAACTTTAAGTCAATTAACTGTAACTTTTTGTTTCCCCCCGAGAGGGCCGGTATAAAGAGCTAAAGAGGTTTTACTGTATTAAAATTGCAATGCTATTCCAAAAACATTGAGACAATTCTACGTATTTTTCTTGGGGGTCAGTTTTTTTCTCAGACATATTTATGCTTGTAATTGTATTATTATGGTCCGAGTCGGTCGCCAATTAGATGCGAAACAAGAACCTCTTAAGTTAAATTGTTAGTCTGGATATTTATTATTTAAGCATGTTCGATGCTAAAGATTCAACCACTCGAGAAAATTGATTTGCAATATTGCTCAGCCTACTTTGCCGTTCTCTTACTAACTACCACTAACTCACTCAAATAGCTATCGGGACACTACTACTAGGCATGGAAAAATCCTTCCTGGAGTCGGAGAGGACAGATGAGGCTCACAAACGGAAAAAGAAGTGGGCCCTGTTCTTGATTGCTCTGTGCTGTTTTATCACTAATATGTGCTTCAGTGCTCGTGATGGGTTCCTAGCGCTCTTTGCTGATCAACATGGTATAACAGGTAAACTCGCTTTAAAGTTCCAATTTCCACCAATCTTTTAAATGTATCATTTTATAAACTCGTTTAAGATTTTCAAATAAATTAAACCTGGTGCAAGAGTGAAAGTAAATGTGATATTAATATATGGGCATATCATATAAAATTGACGATACAAATTGACGAAACTTTTTTAATTAAGTACTAAGACAATTAAACCATATTTTCAGGTTACGTTTACGGACTATTCAAAGCAAACTACATCGTCGGCTACGTCCTCATGGGTTTCCTCAACAAAACGATCCTCAGATTCTTCTCCGCTCGCTGTGTCATCCTCTTTGGTCTGTTCGGACACGGTGTGTGCATGATCCTAGCAGCAGTGGTGTACACAGTGCTCCTGGACACTAAGGAGCCCCCTCTACCTCACAACAAAGTCCTGTTCCAGATCCTGACTTGTCTCTTTCAGGGGATCCAAGGAGGCCTGATGAGCTCTGTTACCCTCAGTAGTCTCTCTCTGGGGTCAGCTTACTTCAGGGATGATATGGGAAAAGTTAATGGGACTTACTATCTGGGAGCGGTTATTCCACATGGAGTGGTGCCGGTCATCGCTAACTGGATCTACAACACTTGGAATGGTTACGCGCCCCCACTCTACATATTTGGATGCCTTGCCTTTGCTCTGTCTGCCGCTGCCTACGTTATCTTCGTCACTAAGGACTTTGACTTCAAGTTTGAAGAAGATGATAAGAGTGGGGCCATTAGTTCTCTCCCATACAGGAGTTTTATTCCTCTCGTACAGTCCTACATCCTGACTGCCTACCTCAGCTACCTCCAACTGGCTCTACCAAAGTTCGCAGCAGTAAAGCTAGGATTCTCCGTGGTGGCAGCAAGTACGCCTCTCTTCGTTCTGATGATCTCCATCGCCATCGTCAACGTCATCATCACATTCCTCTTCACCGGCAGCTCCAACAAAATCCTCCACATTCTTCTACTGTGCTGCACTATCGACACAGTAGCTGCTTTCCTCATCTTCCCTGCTAACGATGCGTCTCCGCAGTGGATCTCCGCTGCTCACATTGCTACCTATCCTTTACTCTGCCTTATTGGAATGTCTGACGCATACAGCACTATCAACACCACTCCCGCTATGATATACCTCTACTGCACCGCCAGAGCCAGGGAACCCAGTGATAGTCAGAAACATACCATGGCTTCTCTTTGGATAGCTGGTAATGGCCTGTCGTACGCGTTTGGAGCATATCTGGCAGGTTTCATAGACCAGGTATTTGAGGAGGATTTCCATCGTGCGGGTATTTTCTGGGGCTGTCTGGCCCTGGTCTGTGTGGTTTCTTTAGTTGTGCCCATTCTAAGTTTTAACAATAGTGGAGAACAGTACAAGATTTGTGATAATGAGTCAAGTTCTTCCGCTTCCGAGTGATAGATACTTTAATAGTGAATTATTCCTTAATTTGTTCGCTCCACTAATGTAACAGCTTGTTATGAAGCATACTAACATTACGATAGGGCACACTTGATTAATCTTAGAGCTTGACCAATGACCAGTATAATAGTGATAAATCAGAGTAAGTATTTAATGATAGGATTAGATGTAAGATGACAAATTATATCTGATGACCGACAAATTTGTCCAGTTCAGAATAGCCAGTTGCGTTGACGCACTGAGTTTTAAATACTTCACTGAAAATAAGAGTAATTTAAAAGTTCACCCCGTTTAAATGTGAGTGTATAAAACTGCATACATACTGCACATTCTTTCGTGTGGAAAATCCAGAGTTTGAGTTTAACTTCTTTTTTATACTTTGTGTTAGTAATTTAATTACTGTAGTTATCCATACATAAATATATTATTTGTTTTATTACAATACTCATTATTAATTTATGCTTATCAAATTACAATAATTATCAATTATTGATGTTTAAATGTACAATTATTTCTTAATTCGCGTTTCATTCAATATGATTTTCATTGTTATTCATGTAATGAATTATTAAAAATATGCGCTCGGACAAAATTTTTGAGTTGATTTTTAACTGTTTAAAGTACATCTTATCAAATATTTTTCGTTACAATTATACTTAAACCTTAGTTGTAGTGAACGCTGAACTTAGTCGTACTGAACGTACGTTCCAATCATTTTGTAGTGAACGTTTGTGAACGTTAGTGAACGTTAGTCAATATTTTGATAATTTTTCCGATAGTTTTTAACTTTAAGGGGTCATTCATAAACAATGAGAGAAAACCATGTTGTCGGAATTAGACAGTAAATAAACAATAATGAATAAAAATAAGTCACTAGTATAGCAAATAGTAATGAAATTATTGCTCTTTAATTCGTGAATTGTTCATAAGACGCAAACTTGCGTTAACATAAATATAAGGTCTCGCTGCTTGTCAACTGTGAGGCGGTTTCTTTTTTGTTTAATACCCAGTCGTACAAGCTCCAATTCGTCTCACAGGGTGAGGCTGATGTCGATTGCGACAGCGCTTTCATTGCAAAACTCTGTAGTTCGGGTACCTCGCAACCGAAGTTGCTCCACCAAGAGACTGGATCGTCAGAATCTTGGCTAAAACTTGAGGCAGCGTCAGTAGAGAATGAGCATCTTTTCTCTCGGTAGAACGTGTGCTGCGAAAGTATCTTCTTCTTTGTTGCGCCGTCACACCACGTGTCCATGACATCAAGAAACTCCTTCCAGACATCCTGATTCGTGTGCTGATCATATCCCTGATAAGCCGGGTGAACACAAAACCCTACTGAATGTAGAGGGGAATGGAGCTCGAGCCACCTTTTGTTGGCAAGACTAACCATATCACTTTTATGGTTTCTATTGCGGAAAGCAAAATTTGCTAACTTTAAGGTGAACAGATAATATTTGTAATAAATTACACCGATGAAACCAACAGGAATCTTAAGACTATTGTCTGAAAATCTAAGCAAGACTATTATCGGCTCGAGAATTGAGCATAAATAGTCGACTTCTATCCAGAAATGGGGCTCAAGATCAAACAACATTTGTATTTGTAACATACCTCAAGGCCCTGAAGGCCTGGCAATGGAAACGCTATAGTACTTAGCCGGATAATTGGGCTATGTCCGGTATTTTAATTTCATAATAGCAATTAACGTTCCTTATGTTCCGAACGTTAAAATCTTTTAGCAAACGCGTTCACAAACTATTTTTAGTGAACGTTCCGTACGTTCACTACAACTAAGACTTAAACTGATCTTTTTAAACCTTAAAACGAATAATCAACAAGATAAATGAACTGCTTAAATCAAATTCGAATTAATTTTATTAAGTTACCTGAACCCCCTCCAACTCATCTGAATATTTCCTTACCGTTTAATTGGAATGAACATATCCAGGGCAGCCTTTCCAAATCCGATAACGCTGACATTACCATCTAGCTCATACTCTCTTACCCCCACGTACAACCTAAAGAATGCGTTATGTTTATATTCATTATATAATACCAATCTTAAAATGGAACTATCAGCGAAATGTGCTGCAGCTATGTTATATTTCTACAGCTTCTTTTTTAGATAATACGGTGTTAATGTTTAAGGTATCAAAACCATTATGGTCTTAAAAAAAATAATAAAACAAAATGATAAAACATGGTGACAGTGTTACTAAACCACCACACCACCACACCACACCACACCACACCACACCACACCACCACACCACCACACCACACCACCACACCACACCACACCACACCACACCACACCACACCACACCACACCACACCACACCACACCACACCACACCACACCACACCACACCACCACACCACCACACCACACCACACCACACCACACCACACCACACCACACCACACCACACCACACCACACCACACCACACCACACCACACCACACCACACCACTACGTACTTGTTTTTCTCGACCCGTAGGGCTCTTTCAACAAATAACTGTGGGTTGATCTGTTTTATCACCTGATCTGTTATTCTCTTGTACATGAAACCTAGCATAATAGTTCAAGTTAGACAATTATCAAACTTTGTGTAGTATCCGATAACATAAAAAAGATAATCAAAGAAATTATAATAAAAAAACTGGGTCGATAGCACATGATGATCATTACTGTCTTCATTATAATAACCACTATTACACTATGCATTAGAGGTGGATAAACTTAGTAAGAGGAAACATAATATTTATAAACACGTTTTATAAATATCTTGCCGATAGAACAAAACATTCAAGAGCTAGAAGCAAAGAAAATTGTATGCCACCTAAAGGTAAAGGTCCATGATATGAAAAACTTTACTAAGTCCAGTTGTTTAGTTTTTGTCAAATAATTTGTAAGATATTTCTCAAATAGATCTTAAGGCTGAGCGTGAGTTTGAGACGAATTTAGCTTTCATTTTAGACTTCACGTCTCCCGAAATAAAACTGCGAACAAAGTGAAACAAGGAACTTTGTTCGCAGTTTTATTTCGGGAGACGTGAAGTCTAAAATGAAAGCTAAAGATATTTCTCAGTAATTCCGTCGACCAGTCAGTCAGTCTGTCTGTTTGTCAGTCTATCTGTTTGTCAGTCTGTCTGTTTTTCAGTCTGTCTGTTTGTCAGTGTGTCTGTTTGTCAGTCTATCTGTTTGTCAGTTAACAAGTTTAGAGCAGCTATTTTTTTGGTCTGTCAATCTGTCTGTATCTGATAACAAACCAAGCAGTTTCGACCTGAAATTATGATATCTTCGTTGATAGGAATCGCGAGCTTTGAATTTAAACACTCTGGTTAAAATTATTAAACCATCAAATTGCATACATTTTTCAAGGGGAATTTGAAAACAGTTGTACTTGGTTAAAGAAGGTTGGATAAAAACCACGTCACCCCAACAAACCACGTGATCAATTAACAGATTAGATTTTTTTTAGATTTGAAAAATTTTCAAAACGGTATATACAAATCAACAGGATTATAAAACATAAAAATAAAAACCGCTTTGTCGGCAAATGCCAGGGCCCTAACAATCCACTCAAAAAAAAAAAAAAAAAAAAAAAAAAAAAAAAAAAAAAAAAAAAAACAAACCTTACAAGACGTGGACTTTACACGTTAGTGATCCTTGGTTGTAGATCCATGTAGGTGTCTTTACAGAAGTTTGAGGTGAATGGGAGGCAGTTAAAGAAACCAAGGTTTAACTTGGTATAAATATCCTGGGTTATTTCAATACAGCTGTAACATCCGACCACAATTACAATTTTCAATTCAAGATATTAAAATAGCTTCCTGTAACCAACAATTCCCATAGTTTAACAGTACTTACCTGTTTTAAGAAGAAAAGATATGTAAGAAGAAAACCAGCAAGAACACCAAAAGAAGCCAGAATAATCCTGACAGTGATCCGTATTAGGTAGTCACCAGTGCACCGTGGTACTTCATGTCTCAACGTTACCATGGATACGAGGAACCCAAACACTAACCTGTCAATCATCGTGTGTTTTTACTTCTACTTCATGACACTAGTGATTTAAAATAAACTATTTACATAAAATTCAGTACTGTCCTTTACCTCATAACTCCCGCCTCCCGGAGAGGGTGCATTTACTGTTAGGACCCCCCCCCCACTGTTAGGACCACCCCCACTGTTAGGACCTCCCCCCCCCCCCCCCCCCCCCCCAGTTAGTACACTTACCCGCCCACATGAGCCCAGTTATCTATCCAGGGGAGGAGGCCAGGTATAAGAAGGAACACACAGATACCCAGCCAACACAGCATCTTCCTGGTCTGATGCTCTCTTAGTAAACTCCTCCCTTGTCTCCATTCTCGTATCTTTATTATATCCCGGGCTATGTGGGAGCCTATGATACCGAACAAGGATCCTGATGCTCCTACCTGAAAGGAAGGGGGGTTCATATTTAGTTCTGTGGGCAGCTTATTTTGGTAATAATACTTACTAACTATGTATATAGCAGAAGAATTAATAGCGTTACTAATAAAAACAAAAAACTTCTAAATATTTAAAAGAGAAAAAAATCGTTATTAATTATGAACATGTAGTAAAGTAAAACCCCGATTAACTGTATTATTTCCCCAAATTGTACGGTAAATCAAGTTTTTTTCTGTACAACTATCCTGAGTAAAACGCACCATTGGTTGATAAGGGGTAAGAACAGCAGATAACAAGATGCCTCCAGTACCGCTCACACAATAAACCAGAGCTGTCCTCCACCAGCCAACCCCCTCTTCGTAGGGGCGCACAATAAAATACAGAAACACCAAACTGTGGGTTTTGTGTGTGATTTTCAAAAGTTTCAGCCGCTAGAACAGCTATTAATATTATATATTATCATAGCATATATTATCATAGCAGAATTGAAAAGTGAGATAACACTTCATACACATATAAACCCTGGCCTTGTTGAAATGCAGTAACCAACTAGATATTAATTTCCAGTAAAATATTAAGATAATCTAATAATAATATTAAGATAATGTTTGTTCACAATGATGTGTTTACCTAGTAAGAAGATGAAGAATGCCACCATGAATAAATATAGGCAGTAAGAACCGGTAAAACTGATATAGCCCTGATACGTCAACACCACACACATGTTTAACGCAATCAACCTGAAACAAAATATATTATGAACAAAATATTCTGAATAAATACCATGTATTAACGTAATTCCACAGGTACGTAGCTGATCTTAATATTCATATTGAAAAATGTCAAGCTATTCAAACAATTGTTCCGTGCTTTTTATAAGACATAAATCAGGATTAATTGTATATTTTGCACGCATACGACATAAAGCTATTCAATATTTGAACGTAAAACCAAACTTTCCCAGTATAAATAATAATACTATATACCAGAGATGTTTGAAACTTCTCAGAATGAGTCACCTAGATGAATTAGTGTCACACAAACCTTGCTACACAGACCAGCATGAGGGTGGAAATATCCGCTTCTAAACGCACATTCTTCCTGGAAAACAAATCTTTAATATAAAAACGATCATCAAACTTTTAAAAAGAAGTTATATACTCTTGTCAATTCAAGGCCTCGTATAAATCATTATTATTTCAATAAATTTTCGATTCTCATTTGTCAAGAAAAAAAACTTACGTCAGGTCATGACGAAGGACAATATAACACCAACCTCAGATATGATAGCACACTGGCCCTGAAGTCCAAAACAACAAGGTCTAGCTGTTACCTCGCACGCCAAGGTGGGAGACTTCTCTCTTCCTGACCACATGTGTTAAAAAAGGACGGAACATTTTTTTAACTAACAAAACGTAATAAAACTCGAATTAATACATTTATGTTGATTTATATTGTAGTTTTAATCATGTTAGCAATTTGAAGATGACAATGACATTGAAACATTGAAACGTGACAATTTTATTAATACTATTTGACAGGTAAATATGACTCACTGAATATTGTACGATTCTCTCCGACCTCACAGTGAGTGGGCCAAGTTGTTATGGGTCCCTTCCATGCTGAGTCATTAGCTTTATCTTCGGGATGATGACAAAACTCTCGACTCATGCCACAGATCTGAGAAAAAATGCATGCAAACGTAAATTTAGAAATTGAACCAATGTCGAAGAATGAAGAGTTTTTAAAAACGATACTATCAGAAATTAACATTTAATGGGACATTTGTAAATGATATTTTTATCTTTGAGCATATTCCTCAGATCATTATTACTGTTAAGTTATATTGTATGAAATTCCAAAGTCACCTTGCTTTCATAGAAGTTAGAAAAAGCACTGGTGCAATTTTCAGACAGGGATTGCCAACAAACATTCAGATCTTTTCTTACGCAGCAACCAGTTTTATCTTCAACCTTCTTTTCTGCCTCCGCCTAAAAATAATGGAATTGATATTAGTTGCAATACTGAGAGCGAGTAGACCATTTTGTATCTTTGTTAGTACATTACAATAAATTATTCACACCCTGAACCTTAAGACCATGATAATATCATCTTACCATTTCCAAGATTGCAACATCGCTTCTCATGCAAGGAGCATATTTAGCACCAAGATGAATCAAGGCTTGATACTCTGGACCAATCCAAAAGTTCTCCTGCTGCATATGAGTGACAGTTTCATAGGCAAGATTGTGTCTTAACAGTTGTTTTTTGATTGGTTTATATGTTGTTCCTATTGGTGCAAAACTAAAACTGCACAGTGCTGCTATAAGAACCAAAGTATCCACAAGCATCACCCAAAGAGTAAAATACGGCCTGCAAAATATAGATAAGTTGCATACGTATACTGGGTATAGTATCTGATCTAAAAATGTATTTACAAAAAAAAGGACATCTCATTTCAAATTGTTTAACAAAGTGTGCAATATTTCAAAACAAGAACATACATAAAAAACGAAATTTTAAATCTGAACTACCTGCTAAATGTGTGAAGATGTTTCCCATTATTCCTGCTCATCTGATCCCTGTACCGCATCTTTGAAATTAAATCCTTTGCAGATGTTGGTGGAGAACAACATGTTTTGGAACCTTTGCATTGTAAACATGGAACAGGGAAGAATAACTCTGATTTGATTTCTTTAAGAATCACAGAAATCCTTGCCATGTTTGTGGTAACCTATAAAAAGAGTTAACTGTTGGAATGATTACATGATTTCACTCAAAGCGTTATATGAATGAGAATTTTAATTTTTATTTAATAATTATATGATTCAACTATAAATGTAAAGGTGTTGATGTTATAAACATATTGAATTTTATTCATCTTGGGTATGAGATTGGGAAGATGGTTGTTGTAACCAATGTATAAAGAAGACTGTTGAAAATTGTCTTCTCATCCTCCTCTTCTCATCCTCCTCACATCCTCCTCACATCTTAAAGTTGTGTTTTTTCTTGCATCAAGTATGCTTTGCCAAAGTAGATGTCAATGTAAAAGGGTTGGGATGATATAAAGCTAGGCAATGCTGTTCACCATGGTAACGAGACTGGATTAATTTTATTGCGTTTTCAAATGTGATGATATAGTCACATGGCACAGGTTTATAATATATATATAATTGGAAGTTATCTCCCAGTATTGTGCACAGTGTCAGATATGGAGCATGGTGCTGCAGCCATAAACAGGAGTACATACTCAAAAATTATTCAAACAGTATACACAGATAATTCTAACAATGGTAATTGCCTAGTTTTAAGGTTATACACCCTCAAAAATGAATAAGCCAATAAATTAAATTAAATGTAATAATAGAAATTTTTAAAAATCACGGTATAAAATTTAAAAAATTTGTTTTACTAACAAGCGATTCTGGCCCACGCCCACCAAGCACTCCCGACCTTTAATAATCTAGGAGTGTTGATCGCAGGTTAGGGTCCAAATCACTTCTTGTAGTGGGTGGTAAACTTTTTTGTATCACCGTAACCCCTGATAGCGATGATACAAGTTCTGACCGGATCGATTCGCAGTCTGCGTCTGATAAACGACATTTCATCACAGTACCTTTGGCCTTCTTCTCATCAAGGTGCTTTAAGAATTGTGATGCCTCCAATGCCATTCCTCCTGTTGTACTGAACACAAGTGGGGTAAACATAGCTTTCTCTACATTCAGGAATCTTTCGTTGTACTCACGTTTTTTGTTTTTCTCATGAGTTTGGCATATCTGTGAGATGCTCTTGTCACTGTGAGACTGGGCTTGGTCGCGGAGTACCCTTACGCCTGTGAATGCCCTGTCCAGTGGTACGCGCGGCGTGGCACAGTAACACATCGCGCTACAACATAATTTGTTCGTTGTTTGTATTATTTAGATTTCAAGGATTGTTTTTGACGGATGTTTCTCGTTTAAATTTCTTAAAAGTAGCGCGCGTCGCTTTCTTTTCAAAATTTTATTACAGCCGTTGGTGCACGTTGTAGGCCCGCCGCGCACGAGTGTGCGGCTGTTTCTGGGTTTGCTGCTTTCGCCCCGGTACTTTAGCGGTGATAAGAAAATGAGGGCCACGTCGTGATACAAATAGCACGCGCTGGGTTAGTCTAGTAACAACGGACAAAAACCTGAAATCTTTTAGTCCCAAAATTCATTGTAGCGCGATGCGTTACTGTGCTGCGCTGCGCACTCAATGAGGCTTCTAGGTCGGCGAGAAGCGCTACTGTGCCGCGCCGAGCTGAGATGAATTGACATCGTCAATTAACTTACCTGGGGACCTCAGGCTATCATGTTCATAAACATATAGAATAGAGATTACTAATCTCAGATTAGGCGGAATGACAGGCTGAGCGCGGCCCAGTTTTAATACTTTCAAGAGTTTTAATACTTTCAACACTACTATATAACAAATAATTTGAGGATGTCCAATATGTCCATGGCTTGCTAAAGTCAACTGCATCGGGGGTACTATGATGGTCCAGGGGGTGCTGAAACAGAAGACTGGCACTCTTAACCTATTAAGAAGTTAAGTAGTTGTAGTGAATAATGTTTCTGTTTGGCAATGTATAACTCCATTCACACCACAATCCACAATTGGACAATTGGACAACCCTGATTAATGTGTAGATAGTGTTGAAAGAATTTTAAACTTTTAACTTGAACATCACTTCTGATAACTTTTGGGGCTGTGCTCCAAGAACAGGCTGACATATTATGTGGCCTATGGATTATATATGTAATGTATTCTGATTCAATGATAGGGCTTGCCAGTCCAACCACCTCATATTTTTCATACTCACTCACTCTCTTGTCCCATGTGTCGTAGTCCGTCAGTCTGTTCAATTTTTCAATCTTTTGAATCATTTTGACTAATCCCGTTTACACTTTCATTGTTGTAAACTGGATTTTTTCTTCCAATACAGAACATTCGAAACTGCTATCTGCTCTTCTTTCTTTTCAGGGAGTGTGCTGGTTGGACGTGAAGGTGCCCCCTGGTCTGTCTGGTACCCTCAACGCTTCTACGCCATGATTGATACATCCAACGACACTCACCCAGAAAAGTGTGAGAGTCCACAACCTGTTCCGGACCAGACTACACCCGCTACGGTTCTGGACCAGACTACACCCACTATAAATATCATTGCCGATATTGATGTTCAAGTACTGAACGACGTCGACAAAATACTTCATGAATCAGAGGAAAATAAAAACTGTAGCAGCCTTATTAGTTTCTTCTCAAATGGGTCTGCCCCCTTCGACAACTTTTTGTTAACTCATTCGCAGAGCCTGCGCTCAGAGATAGATATCATCAAGCTTAACATTTCTAACCTTTTGAAAGTTGAAGTGAACAACTTTGGAATCATAACGCCATCTATGGTGAAGGGTTGTTCCTCTCTTAATAAAATCACCCTGGCAGAGGGTCTCCTATCCTTGCTTGGCCTTGCTGAAAGTGTTTGTGCTGTTGTTAGTGGCAAGAAATGTGACCACGACGTTAAGTCCCCGTCATACTTGTCAGCTCCCTCCAGCATTCCAATGGGTCATACTATCTCTGACGGAAGCTCTATACACAAGTCTTTAGAAGCCATCCAAATATCCATCAAAAGCTTGAAAGACAACGATAGCCATCTTAGGACTCTTGACTCCATCAACTCCAAGCTTGCTGAACTTAAACTTGATATTAACTGTTTCAAAAACAGTAGGTCTTCCAACGTGTCCACTCCTGACCTGGCCTTACCTCCTTTTATCATAGGGTCACCAGCAGCCTGCGAATCAGACCATGAACAACTCCTACTGGATGCACAGAAGCCATCAAGTGCAGACGAACCTAAGTCCAAGCACATTATGTCTTATGTACCAGAATTCATTGATACCACCTTGAACTCTGGGCTCTTAGATTTCCTTGATCAACAGAAAGATGCTTTTGACTGTAACTCAGAAAATGGGCATGGAGTTATAAGCTTTGGAGAACCATATGATTACCCTGGGGCAAAAGCTGCTAAGCCCAAATCAGAAGACCTCCCCGATGTTCTTGTTGAACTTGCCTCAAGAATAAAGAAGCATTGCCCTGGTACAGTTATTAATCAATGCTTGATCAACCGGTACAATGATGAGAGCAGCTTTCTCCCCAAACACTCGGACAACGAGAACTCGCTTGTGCATGACAGTTCGATTTTCACAGTATCCTTAGGAAGCCAGTGCTCGGTTAAGTTCTCAATGAAAGGCTCAACAAATGGGGAAGTCATTGAGACGATAGAGGGACGCAGTCTTTATATCATGAGCAAGCAGTCCCAGTTCCTCTGGGACCACAGAATAGATAAGAGCACTGAGAAGAGGGACATAAGATTCAGTATAACGTTCCGTTATGTTAGCAACAGCACCAATGCAACATTGATTATTGGTGACTCAAACACCCGGTTCCTCAGGTTTGGTGCAGGGAAAGGGACATTTGGTCACAAACTGCCTGGAAAAAGAGTTGAATGTTTCACAATAGATCAGTTAGACCCTGCTATTTGTGTAGGATACAAGAACGTTGTAGTACACTGTGGTGTAAATAATATTAAAAGGGGAGGGGGTGATGTTAAACATTGGGCTAATGAGCTGACGAAGAAGCTCAAGAATATTTGTGATTTGTGTCCATATTCTAAAGTTATAGTCTCACCCATCCTACCAACTAGGTCCTCCTGGCTGAATGACAGAGCCATGGAATTTAATAGTTTATTATTTGGTTACTGTAATACTAACACTAGGATAGGAACTTTAGATTTTGATAGTTTTGTCGATGAAGAGGGTCTACTGAACAAGCAGTTCTGTAGATACAAGAAGCCGGATGACCCAATCCACCTTGGATCAAACGGTATCTTTAAACTCTCCCCCGGGGCAATTGCCCATAAGATCCTAGGTAGCCCAGTTGATGGGAGGTTGTTCAGTGCTGTTGCCAAGGCCCAAAATAGATTTTCCCCACGTCCCCGTAGATCTGTACTTCAGTCATGATAGTCAAATTAATATGCGAAATTTGCTGCTGCTGCAATAGACGTGTGCGTGCTGGACATCCATTCATAATTTGTCAGATGTGTGACAAAATAATGCACAAAAAATGCAAAACTGATGATAACATAGTCAAATTTCGAGATGGAACATACTGCAAAATATGCACTGATGCCAATGATATTGTTCGGTACAACCCTTTCTACCAAGCTCCCCACTTTGCAAACAATGGCCTCATTGATGATGAGCCAGTCAATTATATAGAATCTATCTACAATAGCTCAAAGGTTCTTGAAAATTGCAAAATATTCTCCATAAAAGAGTTGAATGCCACCATCCTACCTAAAAATTCAGTTAAATATTTGTCCAAATTATTTCTTAACATTGATGGAAATGCATCCAACTTTGACAACTTTGCAGTTGAGCTGTCTTGTATCGACCACAAATTCTCTGTTATCGGCCTTGCAGAAACAAACACCAATCCCGAAAATGGAGCCCTGTATCAGCTTAACGGATACTCCTCCTGTTACCAATCACGTTACTTTTGTCAAAAGAAAAACCAGTTCAAGAGTAAAGGGTCAGGAGTGTGTCTTTACCTGCACGATTCCCTTAACTTTAACAAGATTACTGGCTTATCTCTCTGTAATGAACACATAGAATCACTATTTGTATCTATCACTAGCTTGCAAGACCCAACTGTTGTAGGGGTTATCTACCGTCCCCCAAACGCATCACTTGAACTGTTCAACGAAGCATATGTTCGTATTCTCTCAAAATTGAATGGCAAAAAAGTATACATTCTTGGTGATTTCAATGTCAACATTTTGAAAGACCCATCTCCATCAGAGGACAAATTCCAAGAAATAATATTCAACAACGGCTTCACACCAACCATATCAGTACCAACACACCAAATGCCTGGCTGTTCCAGGACTTGTATTGACAATATCCACACCAATGTAGTAGACCAATCCCTTATTTCTGGTGTGATATCTGGTTGTGGAACACAACAAGAAAATTGAGAATAATCTTGTGCGAGGGTAGGGACCCAGATGTCGTTTCTAACCCAAATAAACTTTAAGGAGGCTTCTCATCAGTAGCCGCACCTCCTTACTCGGTTTCTGAACTGGAATTCTATGGGCTTCCAGACGGCCAGACCGAGTATTACCACCCCATCCTTCTAGAGTTCATCACAAGTAGCACCCACCTTGAAGATCTTTGACACCCAGACACACCCCATTGGCGAACAAACTTTGGATATAATCTTACATGCTCCCGAAGGAATCCCTGGTTTATGGTCTTTCTCATCGTCACTAGCACTTTCACTAGAGTCACCAGCCCTTTCACTGGAGTCATCAGCCCAATCACTGAAGTATACAGAAGTATAGTTGTGGAACACAACAAGAAAATTGAGAATAATCTTGTGCGAGGGTAGGGACCCAGATGTCGTTTCTAACCCAAATAAACTTTAAGGAGGCTTCTCATCAGTAGCCGCACCTCCTTACTCGGTTTCTGAACTGGAATTCTATGGGCTTCCAGACGGCCAGACCGAGTATTACCACCCCATCCTTCTAGAGTTCATCACAAGTAGCACCCACCTTGAAGATCTTTGACACCCAGACACACCCCATTGGCGAACAAACTTTGGATATAATCTTACATGCTCCCGAAGGAATCCCTGGTTTATGGTCTTTCTCATCGTCACTAGCACTTTCACTAGAGTCACCAGCCCTTTCACTGGAGTCATCAGCCCAATCACTGAAGTATACAGAAGTATAGTTGTGGAACACAACAAGAAAATTGAGAATAATCTTGTGCGAGGGTAGGGACCCAGATGTCGTTTCTAACCCAAATAAACTTTAAGGAGGCTTCTCATCAGTAGCCGCACCTCCTTACTCGGTTTCTGAACTGGAATTCTATGGGCTTCCAGACGGCCAGACCGAGTATTACCACCCCATCCTTCTAGAGTTCATCACAAGTAGCACCCACCTTGAAGATCTTTGACACCCAGACACACCCCATTGGCGAACAAACTTTGGATATAATCTTACATGCTCCCGAAGGAATCCCTGGTTTATGGTCTTTCTCATCGTCACTAGCACTTTCACTAGAGTCACCAGCCCTTTCACTGGAGTCATCAGCCCAATCACTGAAGTATACAGAAGTATAGTTGTGGAACACAACAAGAAAATTGAGAATAATCTTGTGCGAGGGTAGGGACCCAGATGTCGTTTCTAACCCAAATAAACTTTAAGGAGGCTTCTCATCAGTAGCCGCACCTCCTTACTCGGTTTCTGAACTGGAATTCTATGGGCTTCCAGACGGCCAGACCGAGTATTACCACCCCATCCTTCTAGAGTTCATCACAAGTAGCACCCACCTTGAAGATCTTTGACACCCAGACACACCCCATTGGCGAACAAACTTTGGATATAATCTTACATGCTCCCGAAGGAATCCCTGGTTTATGGTCTTTCTCATCGTCACTAGCACTTTCACTAGAGTCACCAGCCCTTTCACTGGAGTCATCAGCCCAATCACTGAAGTATACAGAAGTATAGTTGTGGAACACAACAAGAAAATTGAGAATAATCTTGTGCGAGGGTAGGGACCCAGATGTCGTTTCTAACCCAAATAAACTTTAAGGAGGCTTCTCATCAGTAGCCGCACCTCCTTACTCGGTTTCTGAACTGGAATTCTATGGGCTTCCAGACGGCCAGACCGAGTATTACCACCCCATCCTTCTAGAGTTCATCACAAGTAGCACCCACCTTGAAGATCTTTGACACCCAGACACACCCCATTGGCGAACAAACTTTGGATATAATCTTACATGCTCCCGAAGGAATCCCTGGTTTATGGTCTTTCTCATCGTCACTAGCACTTTCACTAGAGTCACCAGCCCTTTCACTGGAGTCATCAGCCCAATCACTGAAGTATACAGAAGTATAGTTGTGGAACACAACAAGAAAATTGAGAATAATCTTGTGCGAGGGTAGGGACCCAGATGTCGTTTCTAACCCAAATAAACTTTAAGGAGGCTTCTCATCAGTAGCCGCACCTCCTTACTCGGTTTCTGAACTGGAATTCTATGGGCTTCCAGACGGCCAGACCGAGTATTACCACCCCATCCTTCTAGAGTTCATCACAAGTAGCACCCACCTTGAAGATCTTTGACACCCAGACACACCCCATTGGCGAACAAACTTTGGATATAATCTTACATGCTCCCGAAGGAATCCCTGGTTTATGGTCTTTCTCATCGTCACTAGCACTTTCACTAGAGTCACCAGCCCTTTCACTGGAGTCATCAGCCCAATCACTGAAGTATACAGAAGTATAGTTGTGGAACACAACAAGAAAATTGAGAATAATCTTGTGCGAGGGTAGGGACCCAGATGTCGTTTCTAACCCAAATAAACTTTAAGGAGGCTTCTCATCAGTAGCCGCACCTCCTTACTCGGTTTCTGAACTGGAATTCTATGGGCTTCCAGACGGCCAGACCGAGTATTACCACCCCATCCTTCTAGAGTTCATCACAAGTAGCACCCACCTTGAAGATCTTTGACACCCAGACACACCCCATTGGCGAACAAACTTTGGATATAATCTTACATGCTCCCGAAGGAATCCCTGGTTTATGGTCTTTCTCATCGTCACTAGCACTTTCACTAGAGTCACCAGCCCTTTCACTGGAGTCATCAGCCCAATCACTGAAGTATACAGAAGTATAGTTGTGGAACACAACAAGAAAATTGAGAATAATCTTGTGCGAGGGTAGGGACCCAGATGTCGTCTCCCACCATCACCCTGTATTCACTCTTGTTGAGCTTCCCCCTAACTCTGTGCCTAAACCTGATTCACCAGACAAAATTACCATACACTACGACTATTGTAATGCTAACCTAGAGAAGCTCTGTCTTGAAATAGAAAACGATATAGATAGGTTCCAGCACAGCTGTGACACATTTGACTCTTTCATGCAGTTATTTCAAGAAAAGATAGATTTGTCTTGCAAACTTCTCACTCCTAGAACCACTAAACGCAACAGCATAACTAACCCTTGGATTACCCAGGGGCTAATTAATTCCATAGACAAGAAAGCCAGGTTGTATTTCGAATGAAAGAAGACTTGTACATAAAAACTACCTGACGGGGATCAAAACAAGCACATCTGCTACAAGGAATTCGACAAGTTTCTCAAAAACTCAATAAATATGGCAAAAGCTATGTGCTATACTAGAAAATTCGAGAAGTACAGCATGAACTCAAAAAAGACCTGGGAAGTTATCAATGAACTCCGTGGTAAGAATATGTCTAGACGTAAGGACGATTTTGTCATAGATGGCCAGAGAATTACTTGCAGACGAATAATTGCTAACAAATTTTGTGAATACTTTACATCTCTTGCAAGCAATCTCAATAGAAATTTGTATTGTCGAACAATAGTATTAATAAAACAAAAGTTAATAAAACAAAAGTTAAATTTATTACCAATTATTCAATCAATACATATCATAAATTCTAATATTGGAAACACAATGCAGAATGGATGTCTTAAACTATAATTTTGTTGTCACTAATAATCTATTTACTTTCAAAGTTGAAATTTAGTTAAGTATGAAATGTTATAATATATGAGTTCTAAGATTATTCTTTGTATTATAAATATATATTATAGCTAATGTGAGAAGGTGTCACGGTGAAGAAGAGGTAAAGAAGAGATCCAACGAGGAAGGAGTAACAGAAGGTGTGTTAGAGTAACAGTGCTGTGTAGAGGTGTACCAGCCTGCGAAGTCCTTCGTGGATAGTGTAGTAGAACACCGGTAGGTTCTAGTGTAGGTTATAGTTTAGGTTTATTCTTTTATATTGATTGATGATAGTTGTAGGTTTATATATTTCTTATGTTGTAAATGATTCATATTTATTGTATTACTTATGAATCATATTTCAGGTGTTTTTAGTGTGTGTGTAGTATTGTAGTGGAGTGTGGAACGAAGATAAGAAGATATAGTAAACAGTAGCTAGGAGTGTAAGTAGTAGTCAACTAGAAGAAAGAAGATAGTAACGAAGAAGTGTATTTTGTATAAACATAGTTTTAGTAGTATATTTTAGTAGGAAGTAAAGACTTTTAGTTCGGATATTATTTGGTGATATTTTAGTGTAGTAGTTTTAGTAAGTAGTTAGTTAGTAGTTAGTTTATAGTGGGAATCGGGTACAGGTCTAGGGAGGTTAGTGAGTAAGTGAATTATTATAATATCTAGTGTTAATTTATTAACACCTTCTATTTCAGTTTATTTATTATAATTCCGAGTTTTATTTTGTATTAACATTCCATTTAATTGTGTATCAGGAATAGGTTGTAACAGTGGTAGCAGGAAGAAAACCATCAGGAGTCAAAGAAAAGTAAAGTGTTAAAAGTAAAGTAAAGTGTAAAAGAAAAGTAAAGATTTAAAGTAAAGTAAAGATGGGTAGTGAAAGAATACCAGTATTGAATGATGCGACAGATTATGGTCTATGGAAGAAAGAAGTCAATATATGGGTACTTGGAACTCAAGCTAAAGAAGCACAACAGGCGGCCAGATTGATTGGATTTATGTCTGGAAAAGCTCACGAAGCAGCAATACAGATTCCTCCTGAAGAACTCGGAACTGTAGCGAAGCTGACAACTGAGTTGGACAAACTCTTCTTGAAAGATGACACGCAAAATTTGTTTCAAGCCATAGAAGACTTTGAGCAGTACAACCGCTCTAAAGAAACTAGTATTGACGAATACATCAGATCATTTGAACAGAAATACAAGCGCCTAAAGGCTCTTAGATCAGACAAAGAAGCTTATGAGGACGGGATTAAAGCATTCAAGTTACTTCACCAAGCAAGCCTAACATCAGAACAGAAAAGACTCATACGAGCAACTACAGAAACGCTTACGTATGATGGCATGGTAAAAGCTCTGAAACGTACTTTTGGAGATGGTTCTGGAATTATTAGCAGTACCAGCAATGATCAAGGAAAGAACGCAAATCCTTACTTCTCAGCAGCTAGTTCTAGTGGTATAAAAATCAAAGAAGAACCAGTATTTTATACCAAAGATTCTTACCACAGCAGCAGCTCAGCTAGTGACAGAAGCGGATATTGTTCGTCTGGTAGTGACAAGAGAAACCAGCATAGCAGTACTAGTGACGGAGAAAAAGACGATGAAGAGAATGTTCTGTATTTCCAAGGTGGAAAATACCGAAGACAAAGACCATCAGATCAATCCTACCAAAGACCTAACTCGTCAGAGCAACAGTTTCAAGGACAAAGACCTACAGGACAATCCTACCAAAGACAAAGTCCCAACTACTACCAACAACAACATCTTATGAAAAAGGCAGAGAATTTCAAGAAAACAACTTGTCTAATATGTGACTCGCCTGAACATCGAGTAATCGGGTGTCCTTATAATAAGTTCACTCCAGAAAGAAAGAAAGAAGATGACAGTAAAAGATTGACGTTTTTAACCAAGGTAGTACAACTGGAATCAGCAATAGCCCATCCAGAAAGAGCTGAAAGATGCACATTTCTTCTCGAAGAAACAGTGAATAAAGCACTGTTGGACACAGGAGCAAGTTCTACTGTCTGTGGAAAGCAATGGTTAAAGATCTATAAAGAATCGTTATCACCAGAAGAAGCTATAAAGATAAAGACTGAACATTGTGAAACAACGTTCCGCTTCGGAGACGGAAATAGGGTAACATCTACTCAACTGGTAACACTACCAGTAAACATGTTTGGAAGAAACTTCACTCTGAAGACTTATGTAGTAAATAGTGAAATACCGTTGTTACTATCAAGACAAATGATGAATGACTTTCGTTTTGTTATCGACATGAGGCAGAAAAAAGTTTATGCAATGGGAGGAGAGGAACCCATTTTAGATACTACATCAGGGCATTTAGTGGTGTCAATAAACGGAAGAGCGTTTAACCGCGTTAACCCCTGCAGGATAGTACAAAATGAACAGAGCTCACAAACTGATGATGTACCAGAGAAAGAGCAAAGACCTCATCCAAAGGCAAAGACTCGTGATTCTCATGAGAGTGAGGGAGAGAAAAGAATCCCGACAAAGACAGCGACCTGGTTCTACGAGACTGTGTATTATTCAGACTCAGACTCAGAAGAAGATTCAACATCTACTTCAGCAATTAATGACGAAGTTGATACAGCAGTACGACAAGAGGAGACCACACCCTTACCACAAGAGGCTACCCCCTCAGTTGAAGTAGAGGAAATCACACCTATACCACAAGAGGTTACCCCTCCGGTTGAAATCAAAGAAGAAGAGACTCAACCGAAATGGACAAGTAAAGAACAACCTAAAGGAAAGAAAAACGCAGTCATACTGAAAAAGGGTGACACAATAAGATTCAGAGATGGAGACAATGAAGAATGGAAATGTGGGCTGATAGACAGTCGAGCAGGAAAGGCGACAGGTGCACAAAAGAACAGCTATAATGTGCACGTTGATGGTGAGGATGAGGCTCAAGTAATCGACCTAACTGATAAAAAGGTGGAAAGATTGCTTTGTACAAAAGAAGACAAACTCACAGTCACGAAAGAAGTACCAAAACAGGTCCCAAAAAAGGTCCCAACGCAGAAGATCGTCAGAAAGAAATAGAGACAGGACTGTTCCAGAATTCGCAGTGTCAACCATCAAAGACCTGAGCTTATACTCAGGAGTGTCAAAGAACCATTCATGTCATTTTAATTACCAACACGTGTAATGTAATTTACCAATTTGTGTCATTTTATTAATAATTACTTTAACAGATTTGTTTTACAAGAATTTATCTATAGTTTTGTATTGTAGTTCAAAACTACAACTTTTAACGGGAATTTTATATACTTTTTACGTGCATATTTAAACGCTTGTTTTAATATTCATGTATATTTTCAATTTTGTAACCTGTTTAACAGCGAGTGTTTTGACAGGGAAATTTGTAATATTTCAAACATCACCTGTTATGATGTTGATAACTGCAGTGTGGCAGTGTTTCCTAACAGTTAGATTTTAAAATTTTAGAAAGTTGGGTATTTTAAACTAAGAAAATTGGATACATTCACTGTGTAAAGTTAACCTCATTTACGTATTTTCCTATAATTTTAACCCCGAATTACAGATCCCTATCTTCATGAACGGAAACTTTTTAAACTTTCAGGTCGAGTATATGATCTCGAACTGGTAACTATTAACAACAAATTTTCAGTGCCAAAGTCCTATCTCCTAACATCACTTTATTTTTTTTCGCAGTTAATTTCTTGTCAGTTAGTCAGTACCTGTCAGTATCAATTTTAACACTGCTAACAAATAGATCAATTCATATAAAATATAAATATCGAGTGTGCATGTTAAGATATTGTTAAAGCTGTTGATTAGTTTGTATCTTACTGGAAAACTGAGTTTTAGAAACAGTTGAGCAATAACCTATATTTTGATTGTTACAGTTGGTGGAAGCTTTTTTCCAGTTCAACTAAGAGAGGTTTTGCTAAACTGTCGGCTTATTCTTCGGAATATTGACCTAGCTCCAGTTTAATCAGTTTTCTAGTAAAATTCTAACACAGCAATTTCTCAAGAAAAACGGTATGTTTTAAAAAGGGAGTTTCGGTGAAAACACCATTTTTAATCGTAAGTTATGATTTTGCAGAATTCTGCAGTATTATGGGGTACTTTGAATTTTGTAAATCTGATAATTTTTGATTCAGATGATTGAGACGGAAGTTTTAAAATGACGTGGATTTTAAACGATTTTTTAAGTAGACTTTTTTCCTTTGTGAGAGGAAAATTTTGCTTATTACTAGCAAAATTTGAAATTTAGAACGGCGCGGCGTGTTGTGCACGACAGTTCTTTTTGTATTTTGGTGGATCGGTTTTCGGGCTTTTTTAAAAAATTTTTAAATTGGGATGAGTGTTATAATATATGAGTTCTAAGATTATTCTTTGTATTATAAATATATATTATAGCTAATGTGAGAAGGTGTCACGGTGAAGAAGAGGTAAAGAAGAGATCCAACGAGGAAGGAGTAACAGAAGGTGTGTTAGAGTAACAGTGCTGTGTAGAAGGTGTACCAGCCTGCGAAGTCCTTCGTGGATAGTGTAGTAGAACACCGGTAGGTTCTAGTGTAGGTTATAGTTTAGGTTTATTCTTTTATATTGATTGATGATAGTTGTAGGTTTATATATTTCTTATGTTGTAAATGATTCATATTTATTGTATTACTTATGAATCATATTTCAGGTGTTTTTAGTGTGTGTGTGTAGTATTGTAGTGGAGTGTGGAACGAAGATAAGAAGATATAGTAAACAGTAGCTAGGAGTGTAAGTAGTAGTCAACTAGAAGAAAGAAGATAGTAACGAAGAAGTGTAATTTGTATAAACATAGTTTTAGTAGTATATTTTAGTAGGAAGTAAAGACTTTTAGTTCGGATATTATTTGGTGATATTTTAGTGTAGTAGTTTTAGTAAGTAGTTAGTTAGTAGTTAGTTTATAGTGGGAATCGGGTACAGGTCTAGGGAGGTTAGTGAGTAAGTGAATTATTATAATATCTAGTGTTAATTTATTAACACCTTCTATTTCAGTTTATTTATTATAATTCCGAGTTTTATTTTGTATTAACATTCCATTTAATTGTGTATCAGGAATAGGTTGTAACATGAAATGCCACCACATCATAGTTAGGGTAAAATATAATTCTTAAAAATTTTAAAATTGAGAAGATTGCTCAATGACTTAAAATTTAAAATTTAGCAAAAGATATCTAATTTTTAAATAGTTGGTTACAGTTTATGACAAGATGACAGTACTGGCATGATCAATTTTATTGTGGCTGGTAAAAGGACCCAGTTGCCTGTAAGGGCTTTACCGAACCCCTGGGGACCACAATGTGATAGGATCAGGCCAGATGTAGAGCAATTTATTTATTTCGGAGCTATGGTTACGTGGTATAGCTGGTGGTCATGTTTAAAGGTCAGTTTATCTTTGTGTGCTAATTATCCATCCAGATGCTTAGTGATGTGAGTAAATCATGCCCTTCTACAATATATAACGTTTAACTATAAATTTGTTTTTACCACAGAAACTGTGGCACTAAGGTCAAGAATTAAAAATTTGTACTCTCATTGATAGTTAAAGCGTTTTTTTCCCCAGCACTACTACACAACAAAAACCTGTCGGCCCACCGAGGAAACACAGTCGCAGAACAGGGAACCCAATTGTGCTCCTCTATTCTGCGATCGTGTGTATTTACTATAAACTAGCTAAATGCAGTTAGTAAAATTTTCTGGAATCATTAAAGTCGTTTGATTAGTTTATGTGTCAAAGTAATGTCCATGATAATCATATATTTGGATCCCCGTTGGGCAAACACTCGTCCCAAAGGCTAAGGCAAACCTTTCAATGTTTCACCATACGAAGTAAGGAGATTTGTACACATACTCAGCCTACAACTCCACCCATGGGACGAGACGCATATACCCAGTCAGCAAACACTATACACAACATACACACGATAACAAACAATGTATAATGCCATTACTTCATTTAAAAGAAAATATATCTGCTATCTAATTTTAAAAATTGAAGAATAAACCTGAAGAGAGGAGAAGGAGAGAGGGGTTTGGGAGAGGTAGAGTAGGAAAACAACAGGATCCTGTGCCGCAGGATTTTAAAATTTGTTGTATGATGATTCGTTTTGTGTCGTCTCTTAGATTAATATAGGTCTGATACCCTTGTCATGGTTTTTTGCAATAACACCGTGGTTTACTCATATGATTATGTTTACTAAATCAACCTATTTCAATGATAATGCATGGTATGACTGAATTGTAAACACGTGATAATTGAACGAAAAATAAATGATGAACATGATTCAAAAACTGTAAACCACCAAATGAATTATCGCTTAAATTTAAATAAGTATTTAAACAAAAACCATCATGTGCCGTTAAGCAGCAGGGCGCGGCTCATCTGGGCCACAGCAATTCGGCGAAAATGGGTTCGAAAAAGCCACTATTGGCACTCGAGTCCTTGATCTTTCCGATGGTTCACTGGGGCTTTTGAGCTGCCGTCCTTCAGCTTCTGTAAACTGAAATTACTACAAATCCAAGTTGAGGCAATCAGCCGACGCGCGGCTTTTATGGTTATATATGATATGTTTAATCTGTAATAAAGATCAAAATTTAAATTTGTATCTCTAAAATTTGTTTCTCTATCCACTTTAGACCGTCACGTGTCAAAGAGGAAGTAGAAAATGACGAGAACATATTAACTTTGAACAATGTTGTCATTAAAAAAGTCCAAGAAGCTAAATTTCTAGGTGTCATTATCGATGATCAACTTAATTGGAAAACTCACACACGGTCACTTAACTCAAAACTTAAATGTGAAGTAGGTAAGTTATGCAGAATACGACACATTGTCCCTAAACAGTATTATAAGGATTTATATCATACTTTATTCGAATCACATTTGGGATTTGGAATATCTGTATGGGGTGGTATTAGCAACAACCGACTCGAACCTCTCTTTAAAACACAGAAAAAGTGTATAAGAATTCTATTTGGGGATAAAGAAGCTTACTTCTGGCAACTGGCTCCTTTTGCCAACTGCTTTTGGTTTAAGCGCTGACTCACATTTGGAACTGGCACTGGTATAATTGTAATATCCTACGAAGTCAGCATGCTATATTATTTTGCAAAACTCGTTTAATATCTTGACAATATTTAAAGTTTATGGTTTTAGGTTTAGGCGCGGCGCACGCGCCGCTTATATGTTATAGCTCATTCAGCTTCTGTTTTCAGCGCTGTGTTGCTACACACTGTATAGCATGTGGGTCAAGCGCGGTGCCGCGCCTAAACAGCAAAAGAGTTATTTATTTTAAAATTTATTTTTGTATCTCAAAAATGACGTAAAGTTTTTGATATGACGTAGAATTAAAGCTATTTCCGTACAGCCTAAGTGCTAAGCATGCTCGTTAGAAAAACTATGAACAATGAACATAACATGCTAGCTTTCTTTATTTTTGTAAGTCGCGTCGGCTGACATCTTGGGTTGTACTGGATGTAACAAGTTTATTATCGGATGTCTACTTATATTTATTATGATATCATTATTCATTGTAATGGCAATAAAATTTAAATTTTGTTTTACCTAAAATTTTGTTTTACTTAGAAAAATTTAGAACTTGTGCCCGGACACGACCATTTGGTGAGCAAAGACTAGGTGTGGACTTTTACGAAAAAAGAACACTCTAAGCCCTTGTTTAAGAATCAGAAATTGTTAACTGTTCACAACCTGTATAAGTACACTTGTCTCTTAGAACTATTCAAAATTAATAAGTTAGAGGAACCATTATCACTGTACTCATCATTCAACAGGTCACCACGACGAGAGGATTATTTCATCACATCACAACCATCCTCACAATTCATCTACCAATCATCCTACATGTGGAACAGCTGTCGACAAACATCAAGTAAGATAATTTTTAATACTCCGACAAACGGGTTCAAGAATACATTGAAAATTGCTTTACAAGAATTGCAATTCAAGCGTGATACACTTGATTGGTGTGAGCTTAATTTTGCCACAAATGAGCTCAAGTTTTGATTAATGTGAGTTACTAAAATAACCACTTATCTTTCCTCATACATGCAACCACTGCACTCCAACTAAACACATTATTTACCACAGTCCACACACCATACTCCACAGATGATATATATATATATATACACACAAACACACTAGTACTGAACAATTGCACTGTAAAACATGCTCACGATACACTCAAAATTGGAAATATTCAACGGCTCGTATATGAAACTTAGCGACTTACACTCAGTGTACACCCAGTGTTAACCAGTATTACACACTAGTAAATTCTACGTAACGCGCGAAAACAATAATTCTGTAGCGTTTTCATTGTCACATCTCACGTCGACGGGATTAAACGCGCGCGCGCGTAACAACTTATCTTACTGCTAACTCAGCGACTAAACACACGACGACTTTGACTATTGACAGATGATTAAACAATTGTGAGTTATGACGGACTTAACTGTATGGGTCAACTACTGAAACTGTATTGTTTACTATCTTATTCATTATACTGGACATGAGATGACGAAGTATCTTAAGCAGCACTTTATACCCCCACTTAGAACTTGATTAGTCACGAACAATAGAATCATCAAAAACCAATACAATAAAACATCTTGATCAACAAATGCCTAGCAGCACCAGACAGCAGCCGTGTACCTTTTTCGACTCCGTGGAGTCCCTGATGGACTTTTGTTTACTTTTGTTAATAATCGGACCAACCTTTCTTTCTCGAAACATGTATCCTATTGTATTTCATTATAGTATTAAGATGCGAAGATATACTAGATATTACAACGAAATAGCGGTATACCAAATTGGCCCTTGATATTAACTATAACCGTGTTGATGGTTTTAAATTTTGTATGTTGTAAGTATTTTAGTTTGTGAAGCGTTTACTACTCCCCTCAGCAAGACAGTTAGATTGTAGATTAATGATAATAATTGTCAAATGACGTTATATATTATATAACAGTTATAAATGTTCAATAGTTGTACTGTTGTAGAGCGATTTCAAGAGTAGTGGTCCACAGGGGTCCGAAAAAGCCGTACAGGCACTTGGGTCCTTATCCTTGTCACTAATCTCAATTGGATTCGGTTTATACAAAACATGAACATTTAGACGTACACATTGACACGATATTTATTAGAAAGCAAAAAGTATAAAATAATACGTGCGTGCGCAGCTTGAGCCGCGCCGCATAAGAACGGATGCGTGCAGGGGCTGGAGTACGCTTGTATGTAGATTAATGAAATGTTGCATTGTAAATATTGAGTATTGACGATATTATTATGATCTAATAGTAAATTTTACAAAGCTGGCTTTGGATTTAGGTAAGATTATAATTTGTAATTTATTTTAAAAAAACCACAGATAGTTTTAAATTTATTTCTATTTGTCGTATAATCATGAACAATTTAATCCTGTTTTCAAGAATGCGCGGCTTTGGCGGCCAGTTATTGACTTATACATTAAATTGAATTTTAAATAGAAATGTGAATATAAAACGATCTTCGGTGCGAAGCAAGAATACTAGTTTGCGCGGCGCGTCGAAGCGGCGAAGTCCTCCAAAGTAGAGCAAGTAGAGCTTGTAGGTTTACAACCTACCAGGACGCGCGTTGAGTACCGAGTTGGACTCGTCGACGGTCCTGTATATATATATATATATTTTGATGTTTACTTTCACCTCTGCATCTTTTGTTTATATCTTATGATTGAATGAGACTTACTCACAAATTTCCCATCTCAGTATTGATCTATTTTTGTCATGTTTTTAATTTACTTCATAGAACAGTTATTTTAATAAACTTGCTTTCAGAATGAGACATGTAAAGATTACACAATCGATAGCTTAATGTGAATTTCGTGTTTTACTGTTTCACTGAATGTCTCAAATATATATATATATATATATATATATATATATATATATATATATATATATATATATAACCAAGCGTCATGAATCTAAGTTGAAGAGAGATAAGGACTAT